CTTGCCTTCCTCCCTGTCGGGTTCATAATAAAACTCATAAGTTCTTCAATTAACTTAATATACTTCATAAGAACCACTTCCCATTTAACAGCGCTACCAACGACCATGAGCTAACGCCAGTGAATCAAAGATTTTTCACGTTTGGTCCCATTCAAAGACTATGCTTGTACAAATTATGTATTCCATGAAACACTTTCAATTTTATTTTAGGTACGTATGAAATGATATACGGTTTGCGAAAATACTTTCTTGATAAAGGCAGTGCCCCAAAACTACCGGAAGCGTTTTCATCAAACAGCACTGGGCCTAGTCCACTTGATATATTAGCCCTGAACATCATAGATGAAGACGTTCTCTTCCCAATTTTATTGCACGCTACGGCCTTTGAATATAACGTAAGTTGAGTAAACTGGTGCGACAAGTCTCCTGCTGAATTTCTAATAAGTGGGAATATATTTTAGATTCCAAGCAGACTATCTCCTGAGAGGGAATGGACAGCATTAGAGGTTCAGCAGGCATTAGCAGAAATTACAGGTGATTACAACATCATATGCCCTGTTATCAAATTTGCCGATGCTTACTCAGAAGCGCCCAATAGCCAGGTGGGTTCCTATTGGTCATTACAGAACGTAGTGTGGGGTGCTTGACTAACGATTGGTTGCTGAGTATTGCGGATCAATCTGATTGGTGAAAGCATCGATAATTTGTATGCTTGAATGGCCAAACATTATAATGCACATTTTAACATTTCTTTTTCATACCGACAGGTTTTCCTTTACTCTTTCGAACACCATTCAAGCGGATGGACGTGGCCAAACTGGACAGGAGTTATGCAAGGCTATGAAGCAGAATATGTCTTTGGAGCCCCGTTGAATTTCAAATTTCAGTCAAATTTTTACAAATTTTCCGAAGAGGAGAGGCTGTTTAGCAACCAAATAATGCAATTTTGGGCCAATTTTGCTGCCACTGGGTACGTCTTGTTTCTATTCAAACTAGATGTTTCAGCAAAATAAGGTAGATCTTTTCGTGTAGAAAGCACTTTGTCCTTGAATTGCATTTTTTAATAGAAAGACTGGAAAGTTGTTTGAAAAATAAGCGAAGCAACACTTTTCTTATTTCCTGTTTGAGTTCTTAAAGTGTATTTATTTATAAATTCTTAGCAATTAATGATTTTATTCTATTAAGACACTTAGTCATAAACTTTCTTGCAGAAATATATTGGTTAATTGAGTGATATTTAAGGAAATTATTTTAAAGAGAATTTTAAATTGAAAATTAATCTCGAATTTGTCATAATAGTCGAAACTAGAATTAAAAATAAAACATGCATTAGGTTTCCCAATTTATCTGTGAGGCGTATGACATTAGACCTGGTTGTAAAATAAAAAGATCTAGAATACTTTAAGATATTTCTCAAAGAGCATTTTAAGCATCTCTTTTCTTAAGGTCACCGAGCCTACGCCCAGATGAGTTTAATACACACTCAAAAAATCTCAACTGGAATAATTATGAAGTTCGTCAGACGATCATGAAGGGTGATAAAGAATTTGATATTTCGAGGGAATATATCGTTCTCAAGTCACCCACTTCACGAATTGAGCATAACTTGAAACGTCGTCGTTGTCTTTTCTGGCATGAACAACTTCCAATGATGCGGCAAAAGATGATCAGACGTTGTCAAACGAGCCCCCCAAAAGAGCAAAAGCCAACTGATAGACTCAACATCCAACCGCTGCCAGCATCGCAAACCGCAAAGTGGCAAATGCCAGCATTTACGACGTTAACATCAGCATCTACCACCAACAAACCGTCGCTTATCAGCATCACTTGCAAGGTAATAGCTACTGTTATTGCTTCGGTAGAAATGTTTTATTAAGCGCTCCCCTCTATCATCGAATCGGTTGTAAAAACTAACAGGTTGTGATCCAATCTCAATCAACGGTTGTTATCTCAATTGATATTTCTATACTTTTTCTCTCTCTCTCTCGCTCTGATTTCTTTAAGCTATATTCCTTATTTTAAATCATTGGCTACTATTACTATTACGATATCTTTTTATCTCTGTTCTCTGATCTTCCCCTCAATGTGAACCCTCAATCAATCTGAATTGTGAAAAATCTGTGTTGTGAAAGGCCATGTCCTTACTAATCTCGGTTGTGAAATCGGTTGTGATTTTAAAGATCATTTACAATAAATATCATGTGTTTTCATTCTTACTTGTCTTAATTCTTACCCAAAGACGATTTGATAAGGGCAGAATCGCTCAGTGTCACTTGAATTTGATAAAAAGTATAATATTATATGGTCCATTGTTAATTAGCTAACGGTAAAAGTGAAATAGATTTAAAATTTTATTTTACTGTGAAAATGAAGCTTTTTATAATGGTTAGTTTGTGGTGTTCACACTTGTCTTCTATTCTAAAAATATTTGATTTGACAAAAATACGACAACATATGCTAATTTAATTTATCATATTGTAAGGGTTGCTATTTTTGCCGCATTTAGAGTTAGCAAATCGCTTTCCTGATCCAAGAATGGAGTAATTTGATTATGTAACATTGAGTTTGCACGGACGTATAGCACTGTTAGCTTTCATTCCATAAGGTTGGGCGAAATTTTACTTCCCTTGTGAAAAAAATTTGCTTTAACGACGATTTAAGTTTCAATATTAAATACTACCCAGACAAAAAAAATTTGCTTTAACGACGATTTAAGTTTCAATATTAAATACTACCCAGACAGCGAAAAGAACAATCTTCGGCAAAATTTGTCTTGGACTCCTATTGGCCAATTGTTCCCAAAGCAACTTATAATACGCCACATGCGTATCTGTTGGTAAAAATAATAATTGCTCCTTTTCAGGCGGAAAGATACGAATTTTCAACTGAATGAAAAGAGCAAAATTATAATGCCATAATGAAATAATCTAGATTTGCTCTAAATCGAAATTGCTAGCAGCATTCAAGCAAATATTTATTTATTTATATCAAATGGCAGGCATTTCGATTGTTACCATTAGCCCTTTAGTTGACTTCAAGCGTCACAGAGTGGAAGAAACATCAAAGTGACAAAAAGTCGAGAAGGGGGGAACAGAAGAGTGTTTCAAGGATGTAAAAGAGGCAGACACAAAGGTAGAAAAAGGTAAGAAGAGTACTGTGGAAATAGTCGAACATGGCATAGAGTGAGGTGGTGGTAGTTTGAAGTGAGAAGTCAACTGTCAGTTAATAGACTGTATGAGCATACGTTGCCAAGGGTACACTACGTGGAGGTTAGTCTATAGCACATCCCTTCAAGCAAATATATTACTTCATAATAAGGTATTCGCAGTTTTCTCTTTAGCTCCTGTTGCCTTGTATAAGGAAGAATCTTAAAGAACATCATTAAAAATTTTGTTCTGAAGAAATAGCCCATTTTAACTGAGATTTGAATAAAATAGTCTTATTCTACTCCTTAATTTAGGTGCAATCTGAGATCCAATTTCGTAAAAATTAAGTAAATTTATTGTAATGCCGATTATGAAGTCTTTTTCCGCATATTCCCATGACTTTCTAAAGTCCCAATCTTAAACACATCTGATTTTCATCGATAATCGATAGAATTTAATCGGATTCAAAGATGAAGCCTTTCTAGTACTCCGCAATACTACCTCTCAAGAGCATTTTTGGATAATAAAGACTAGATAATACGAGAACTGAAGAGTGGAAGGGTGCACATAAACAAGCCGTTATAGCATTACGCGTTTCTCAAAATCCTCCTTGATAAAACGAGCATATAATTTTTATAAAGCTGGTTTTCTGTTATCTATTGAGCTAGTTCTAAAGTTCTCATCAGTTCTTAATAAATAGATAGTACCGCGGATGAGGTGCAATATGACATGGTATTGTGAAGTCAGAAGTCAACTGCCGGTTTATGGACTTTTTCGCCGTATGGGTATATGCTGACCAGCATTACTCTATGAATAAAATTCCCATTGGTTTAATTTTGCCTGTGGGGCTTTTGACAGTTAAAACCTAATGCAATTGTGATCATTTATTGATGAACACAACCAATATATTAGTTATTAATTAATTTTATTCGTAATTTAAGGCAATAGTTTTAAAATCCATGAAAATTCCCTTGTAGATGGTCTCATGATTAACAAATTCGATTAAACCCTTAGTAACCTTGTTAATTGCCTTTGATACAATGCCGGTTACGCCTCCAGTTACGGGAAGTTTGTGGGAC